AATAACAGAATTCTACATTTTAGCTAAACCATCCATTTGATCGCTGCTGAAATAAATCATGAGTGACTATTTCCCCATTGTCCTCTCAGTGCCAGTTACCGGGCCTGCGCACAGCCTACCGTAAGAGACTGGAGTGTCACGCTACAATTACTCCTTTTTGCGAGAGCATCCAAAAAGCCTCCATTACACTGTCCACCCACAGTGTCTCTGAAATGAGCGCAGGCAGCTGCCTCGGTTTGATTCCTTGCACTGAGAGCATTGATTTTAGCAATAATGAAACAAAGGCTATATCTGCTCCTCCGCCTCTCTACTGTAGTTCGAGTCATACTGCAGGCTTTACCTCATCAGTTTCACTACAGTCAGACTGAGATGGTGCAGAGGAGCTTAAGATGGTCTTTTGTAGATTTTGTGCTTCTTGCTCTAGGGGCCATTTTTGATTTGTTATTTACTTGTGAGGCTGTAGGCCTCATTCTCAGCGAAGCATTCTAAGCGAGTTTTTAGCCCTTTCACTGCACTGTTTCTTTCTCTCTCTTTCATCTTCCCTCTTTAAACCCATTACTATTCCTTAATAAGGAATAGTTCACCCAGAAATGAGAATTCATTCATTATTCGTATTCACATTCTCTTACAAGTTTCAAAAAGCACACAAAAGCATCCTAAAAAGTAGCATAAAAAGTAGTCCATTCAACTCATGCAGGTGCCTCATGAAGCCATAACTTTTTAAAAATGTTGTTATTGTTCATTTAAAGTATTATTTCTATGTGAATTTGCTATATGATTCTAAAGTAAATCAGCTATCATATGCTTCTCAGAGTAGCCAAGTGTCAGACTCTGTTCCGTGTCTGTGTGTGTTTCCTTCCCCCACGTGCTCCATGTTATGTTTATTTCCTTATTTGGTCTTCCTGTTCCTGTCCTGATTGTGTTATCATTTGTTCCAGGTGTTCCCCGTTCTGTTCCATTGTTCCCAGGTGTGTCCCATTAGTTTCAGTGTATTTAAAGTGTTTTCTGCCCCTCGTTGCCCGTCCGGTATTGATCGTCAATCCCCGTGTCCGACATGTGATTCCTGTGGTGTCAATGTCAATAAAGACTGTGTGTGTCCTGATTTTCCAACGTTCTCCTCGTTCCTTGTTCCTCGCTCCTCACCGTAGGCGCACCGTGACACCAAGAGTATTCACAATATTAATATATAATTTTTATGTCTTGTTTACTAAGATATTTGTCTGAATCTGATGGGGTATATGGTTGGGCCATCACACAGACACATAAAGAGAAGTGATCTGCCAAATGTTTTGTGCTTATGAAGTTATGAATGTGTTGTTTTGATTTAGTCTTGGTTCACTCTACCCATGTTTCTCCAGTTGGTTTTCATTTGGTGATGAAATTATTTCCATGGAATGGCTTGGGTGGCTCTTATGGCTGTTGTGCGACTTTCACATGCATGTTTTGGAAATTTCCCTGGAAAGTCTCATAGGGATCTCTCAAGAACAAATTGTTTTCTTTGCCTTATGTGTTGATATTAGTAGGCGATACCAAAATATGAAATATGAAATTTCACAATTTACAAAACCAGTTTTGATAGCACAGCACAAACTATATGCTACTGAGCAGACACTTTTATTTAAATATTATAAACATTTAATAACATATAACTTGAAATTGAATTAAATTTTAAAGTAAACCTTGCTTAAATGTTTAAAGTAGTCGTTATTCAATTAAACAAATTTACACATTCAGATTAGAGATTCATGATATCAGTATCATTTTGTTTTTTCTGGATATGATTTATTAAATCGGTCGATGTTGGATATTAAATTGTGCATTCCAATTTTCCATATTTTTACATTTAGATAAACTTTATCATCATCTAACACTCACTTAAAGGCATAGTTCACCTTCAATTGCTGGTCCCCATTGACTTCCATAGTATGAAAAAAAAAAACACTATGCAAGTCAATGGGGACCAGCAACTGAAGGTAAACTATCCCTTTAAAAACACACATAACACATAAAATTTTTACATTTCACAAAATTGATATCTATTTTTCATACCCTACATTATACGAATACATTTTAGTCTTTTTGTTTTATTTAGACAAAATGTGTAGATTAAGGTGTAGTTATTGTTAACTAAAACTATTAAAAATCATTTCAGGTATTTGAAATAACACTGATATAAAATTAATATAAATATTAGATGAAAATCAAACTTAAAACATTTAAACAAAAACTAGAAATGTTGCCCTGGCAACTAAGTGGTCTAGTACAAAAATTGCTAAACTAAAACATAAATTAAAGATATATAGAAATATTAAAACATAATGAAAGTGAAGTGACATAGTATGGTTACCCATACTCGGAATTAGTGCTCTGCATTTAACCCATCCTAAGTGCACACACACAGCAGTGAACACACACACACCCAGAGCAGTGGACAGCCATTTTTATGCTGCGGCGCCCAGGGAGCAGTTGGCTCAAGGGCACCTCAGTCGTGGTAGTGAAGGTGGGAGAGAGCACTGTACATTCACTCCCCCCACCTACAATCCCTGCCGGACCTGAGACTCGAACCCGCAACCTTTAGGTTATGAGTCCAACTCTCTAACCATTAGGCCACAACTTCCCTGATAAACATGATGATAAAATAAATGACAAAAGCACATTACAAAATTAATAAAACCTAAACTAAAATATAAATTAAACTGAATATATAAAAATAAAAGCTAATTCAAAATATTCATAAGTACTGTGATAGTATATAAATAATCCTTAAATAACACTGACTGTTTATCAGCCATGTTATGAAACGAATGGTCTATTAATATTGGTACTTCACTAATTACAGACGTGTTTGACAATTGCATCATATCTCATAATGTTAATTGTCAACTTTAAATGGTGTAACTTTTTATTCATTAATTAATTTATTTATTTAAGCTGTTGAACACCAATACATCTTATGTTATTGCCCCTTAAGAAATGTCAGGTGAACCTCAAACCAGCCTAATGCAGGGTTTAGGATCAATTAGTCAACGAGTTGTCCAGCCAACTCACTGGTTTTGAAAAATATGTCATTTTGACATTCCTAGCATTGACGGTCAGTGTTGCTGCATCAGGCATGATATTTGTGACTGGCACCACAGTGTGAGCGACACACATTAGGAATGTGACCTCTATAAGATTCGATAAGCGTGTTTAGTCTTGTCTCCCTCCCCTTCTACATCTCAAGCTCCCTTTTTCTTCTCCTTATAAAGTCTCTTATCTTTCTCTCTCTGGCTTTAGCCTATTCTCTGTCTCCGAATGTCTTTTTCTCTCTCTTTGCTGTTCTGTAGAGTTGGCAGCCTTTCAAGCCATGAGATCAACCCTGAAAGTAGAACAGAATCTCAGAAGCCCCTCCCTTTCCTCTTCCTGCAAAAGCACTGACTTCTTGGTCATCTTGATCAAGAACCCCTAAACATTCAGACACTCTGACATTGCCGTAATGTCCCGTTGGCGTTGCCTCATTAAAAATGCCTTGTGGTTTATTCAGCTGCTCATTCCCACCACATACTCGGGCAGGTGCCAGTCTGCTGAGCGATTCCTGCGTATCCCATCTGACCCCTACGCGATATGTCAAGCTCAGCAACAGGCGCATGCCAGAGCTGAGTAAAACCTTCGGAGAGACCTAGACGTCACGGCTATTAAAAAAACACACTCATTTATAGCAGCATGTGGTCTTTTGAATATGTGGGTGTGTTTTGGGTGTATACATTTGGTCTACGGGCCAGACGTTCATAGTGGTACTTCCGGCGCTCCATGTCTTGCACCTGTTACCCGTAAAGCTTCAGGGCTTTGGGAAACGTGTGCTTTTGGCCACTGACGTGAAGCTATAAAAGTAAATGCGGTTGTTTGGCAAGTGGTTCATACTGAGGAACACAGTTACAACAGTTTGTGTGAAGTTTACAACTTTTCAACGAGAAGATATGCCAAACCATGTCAAAAGATGGTAATGATGATGCTAAACTCTCTTAAAACGTGTCTTTTTTTAATGTAAAAGTGAGATGAAAAAAGAATTTAAAAAGAATACAGAAAATCCTGTATTTATTTATTTATTTATTTATTTTAAATCCAAACCTGTTTTGTTAAGGATTAAAAACTAACTAAAATAAATAAAAGGACAAAAATACTAAAAATTAAAATAAAAAAACTGAACTATAATTGTATGTAAATAATACTAAAATACCACTGACTTGAACATTGCACACGTTATATGGACTGCTGTTTTTTATTTTAGTGTCAGTCCCCATTTACCTTTTTGTAAGAGCAGCTAGGACATTTTTCAGAATATCTTCTTTTGTGTTTCACTGAAGAATTAATGTGTTATGGGTTTGGAATGATACAAGGGCGAAGAAGCTATGACAGAAATGTCATTGTTGATTGAGCTAGTGTTTAATTTTCTTAAAGTCTTAGTATGTGTACTACTGTATATTTTCCTCAGTGGAATTGTTATAATGTGAATGTTTAACTTGGACTAACCAGTTTCAGATATTTGCATTCTTCAGAGCAGCCTGGCTTTGTGCTGTTGTGCATCAGAATTTAAAATTACCAATGCAAATTAAGGGTAGAATGAATGACCTAATTATGTTGCATAAATAGGCCGCTTGGGAGCAAAGCAATTGTTTTTTAGACAGAGGTGAATACATTCTCTGCAATTCCTGTTTAATCCAATATATCATAGTTATTTGCAAACCCAAAATATGCAAAAAGTAGTTTGGATTGAATTACTAAGTATTGGTGGCAGTTTTTGCAATTCAAATCAGACTGATTACATCCTGCCTGTCCAGCATGGCTGGAAATATTGCCTTCTGTATGATGTGTCAACATTCACTTGATACCCAGCTAGTGTGTGACCTAATAAATCGGACTTTTTGAAGTTGGAAGTCACGTTGATCCTGAGGTGAAATAAGGGCTGTTTTGTTCATGATATGTATGTACTCTTACTAACGTGTCTTCTTTTTTGTTCTCAGCAACAGAGAGTTTGAGAGCGTGGAGATGAATAAGCTGCGTCAGAGCCTGCACAGGAAGAAGCCCACCTACGTGCCGGAGGCCAGCCGGCCGCACCAATGGCAGGCAGACGAAGAGGCTGTACGAAAGGGCAAATGCAACTTTCCTGTCCGGGTGAGTTGAGAACTTAAATGGCAGGGCTTCCAAATTCATCCAGAGGGTTGTTAACAGACATCTTGCTTTAATAAGATGAACATGATCTAAAAGTGTGGTCACACAAGGCTTTAAGCAGGCAAAATTACTTTAGCCATTGCAATCAATATTGGCAAAAGGATATGACATTTTGATTAAAGATTACCAAAACATTTTCTTTCTTTGGAACATCATTCACAAATAAGGCTAGGAAAGTGTATAAAGAAAGTAAATCAGTTTAATTTAGATTTGAACTAATGTTATGAAATAAACTTGGCCGATATAAATGTCTGTAGAGTGTAGTTTATGATGTTCCCATATGCTGATCTAAGCATTAACAGAGAGAGTTTTTGAATGAAAAAAAAAAATCACACTAAGAGACTGTTGTTTAAAAGCAATACTAGTGCAAGAGGGAAAACGGAAATGAATTTAATGGGAATATCCAGATGTAGATTGACTTTTGAAAGGGTTGAAAGTCAGTAACACCTTCCCGGTGTCTGACTGAGGGCCAAAAGCTATAGCGCTTTGACCAAACACAGACTTGCACTTAAAGGGTGACTCGTCAAACCCCCACACAATAATAACATCATGCTGATGGCTGGAATAGGATGTTAAGGAGTGTTGTTTAGTTGTTCAAATGTTTAGGGTCGGTAAGCTATTTTTAATGTTTTAAAGTCTCTTGTGCTCAGCAGGCTGCATTACATTTGATCAAATATACAGTAAAAATAGTAATATAGTAAATATTATCACAATTTAAAAGGACTGTTTTCCATTTGAATAGATTTTGTCATTTATTTCTGAATTTTCAGCATCATTACTACTCCAGTCTTCAGTGTCACATGATCCTTCAGAAATCATTCTAATATGCTGATTTGCTGCTCAAGAAACTTTTTTTTTTTTTTATTATCAGTGTTGAAAACAGTTGTTCTACTAATGTTTTTGTGGAAACCGTGATACATTTTTGTCAGGATCCTTTGATGAATAGAAAGTTCAAAAGAACATAATTTATTTGAAATGGAAATCTTTTGAAACAATGTAAAATCTTTTCAGTGCATCCTTGCTGAATAAAAGTATGAATTTCTTTTAAAAAAAGTATGACCCCCAAATTTTTGGACGGTAGGGTATATCGTGTAAAAATACATGAAATAGGTAATTATGTGAATATTTTAATGACTTTGAAACAGGGTTATCAATGTAACATTTATTTAGTATAAAAATATATTTCAAGATATAACAGAATGAATAATTTCCCAGAATGTGGCTAGTATTGATATTAAAGTCAAACAAATAAGTAAATTCACCTTTTATAATTCTCACAAAATGGCTTTTCCTCTCAAAATATTGATATATGTGATTAATCAGCATATCATGTAATTGATTCGATTGAAATCATTTGACAATATTATTTTGAAATGAAAAGAGGCTCTTTCAAGACTAAAGAAGGCCTGTATCATAAAGTAAAGCAGTGTATTGCAGTGGATCTTGCATAATTAAATTCAGCCTAATTTTACTCTCCAGCCTGAGGCATCAGAAGTCTCTTTGTGACTGAGATGTAATCCTGTAATGGCCTCTGTCCTCATGGCCACCATAATCACTTAACACTGGCTTGATGACTATTGTTAACATTGTTTGTGTCATCAGTCAGAAGTTCTGGGCTTTTTAAATTTTTTATTTAGCTAACTTAGTTGTTATTCTTGGCTGAATAGCTCTAGGTTTTCAAAAGCCCTTTAAAATTAAATATGTACACATTTTGGATTAAATGAAAGTAGTCAAAATTTTTAATTAGCATGTTTTTGTGTTTTGCTTTGGTATCGAAATTGGTACCGAGAACCGTGGATTTTCACTGGTATTGGTACCGGATACTGAAATTTTGGTACCGTGACAACACTAAATTGTGTCCATGTGAGGACATTTTGATTGGTTTAGGCTGGGCGAAATGTCCCACAAAATAAATCCTCAACTGTGTTTTCAACGAGTTCCTCATTGAAATCTGCACTAGCCCTGTTTGGACAGGACTAGTTTTCCCTGAAGAGTTAGAGTAAATTTGTGTTCCTGTCTGTTTTTCTCACATAACCTCAGCAAAAAAATGACAGAGCAGTGATTTATTTTTTTCACAACGCATTGCAAATGTCGTTCAGGGAAATAATGGTGTGGGGAAATAGTGGATGAAATATAGAAAATGTGGATTTCATCGGTTTTGACCTCTCTCTCTGTTTTCCTCTCTTTTTCTCCTTTTTCTTTCTGCAGTACCTCGGTCTGGTGGAGGTAGAGGAGTCCAGAGGGATGCATGTGTGCGAAGAAGCAGTGAAAAAACTGAAAGTGGTGAGTGCTGTAGTGCTTTCCGCTCTCACGCAATAAAACATACGCTTGCTGTAAAAAGCAAACTGGCAGCCAAATAAGCTCTTTTGTCCATATGTGCAGTCAGCCAGTAAGGACGATGTATTTCCATCTTAACTCAGTTTACATGAGTTCAGCTGGAAATATCAGGAAATAATTAATTTATCGTGAAAACGTATATAAATTAATTTGATAAAGTAATAGACATTTCTATTGTGAATATACATTTTTGTAGTTTTCCAGTCCTAAAATATTTATTTGCCTAGAAATTGCTCTGTTTGAGTGCCATCTCTATCAAATAATAATAAAAATAGCTGTTAATTATCTATTCATAAAAATCACTGGATAAGTCAGAAATGTGAAAATGATGTAGTGATATTATTATTATTATTATGCATCTGGAAAATGCCCTAAAAATGCCATTTAGGTCAGTTGCTCAATAAGTAGAAAACTTAATTTTGAAAAGAAATAGACATTTCTATAGTTAGTTTCTATATTAGCTCTAAAATATTTAATTGTCTAGAAATTGCTCTGTTTGATTGCCATCTCTATTTAAAAGTGTTTAAAATTTGTGTATAGTGTAAATTTGTATATAGTCATTGTGTAGGTCAAATTGAATCATGCATAGCTAGAAAAAAAACAAAAAACAGACATATATCTAGGGCGTAATTTTGTCCCTGACACACAGACCGATTCCCATCCATTTGTAGAGCTCCACACGTCCTGCTTTCCTCATTGCAGGAGACCATAAGCTCTTTGAGGACCTGTGAGGGCTTTAATGTACTGAGAGTCTACATAGTCTCATTTATTTAAAAAATGGATCTTTATGGAGCGTAGCTTCTCTGTCGATGGCTATTATCTTCAGTATTGCTGCTCTGTCAATAGTCATATCCTGAGCCTGCAAATCTCATTACTGAATTGTCAGAGCAGAACTGTAATATGTAATGTTTCTTATCATGTAAAAACTTTTCACCCACTAGTGCTGTCTGTGTGACACTTTCTGTGTGTGTGGCCCTTGTCTTTGGGGCCCCTCCATCTGTTCATATATACTCTGCTCTTTCATCCCCATGTTGGCAGTTCTCGCTGTGTCTGTCTACACAGTCACTTCATTTATTTTCTCTTCTTCCCCAAACCCCCAAAGCCTTTATCTCATTCTACTTGGAGCTTGTGCATGTTCCTTATTCTTCCATTCTCTTGTTCCTCAGTGTTCTGCTGTTTTAGCAAATTTGGACAGTGACTTTTGGGATACTTGTAACGTCAGCTGAATTCCCTAAATTTTTCTTGATTCAGTTGCATCCTTCACTTTTACTTATTCCTGTAGTTTTTTTTTTTCCAGATTAAAAGCATTTCACAGTGTACTAACCTTCACTCTCTCAGACAGATGTGCACTCACAACAGATTCACTGAAAGATTTAAACCCTGTTCCAAAACCTAGAGAGCTGCCTTGCAGTACCTCAGAGTAACTCCTGTCCTAAAATAATAAGGCAGCTGTATATATATTAGACACATTTAAACTGTGAGAAAAAAAAGCCTGATATTATAAAGACAACCATGTCAAATTTAGTAAAATTAAACATTTATATGGTAATAATAATAATAATAATAATAATGCCCTACTATTCAAAAGTTTGAGGTCAGTATTTTTATTATTATTATTATTTTTGAAAGAATTCTCTTATGCTCTTTAACAGCTCCTTAACAGTTTTCTATTTTAATATATTATTTATAGTATTATTAATAATACTAATTATTATAATATGTGTTTGGATGCCATGCTATATAGGCCTATATTTTTTTAAAGATTTTTTTGTTGATTAGAAAGTTCAAAAGACCATCATTTTGAATTAGGGATGTAACGATATGAACATTTCTTATCACGGTTATAGTGACCAAAATTATCACGGTTATCAGTATTATCACGATATTGTTAAAATGTGCTGGAGATGTTCAAAAAGTACAGACATATAAAGCACTTCACCAAGTTTTATATTTAAAAATCAGCACACAACAAATAAAATGGCTTTTTGTTTGCATAATCACTAAAACAATAAAATTACTAATGATGTTCGGATTTTAAATGACAACTTGACTGACAACAGTTTAATAGCATGTTGAAATATCTAATGTAAATGTTCAAATAAAGCTTTGAAAAAGTTTCATAAAAAGGTAAACCTCACATTTCAGCCTTTAAATAAAGAAAAGATATAAGTCAAAATGATAATTGATTAATAAATGATTATATGTATTTTATCTGCTCCATAAATAATTCTAGATAACTTATCTGAATTGTTTAAATGTGTAGAATCCACATAAGCTTGTTTTTCATCAACTGGTCAAAATTTACAGAAGGGCATGCAAATTCGGTACGTTTTTGGTCAGACAGAAACTGCACACAGGCTGAATGTAAATAGAAGTCTCTGTAAATCCACTCACTGACACTAGGTGGCGCTTATGGAAAAGCTGAATTAGAGCTGTTTCCCGTAACCTCTGTGGACAAAGCAGTAGTGCGATTAAGAACACTTCCTTTAGGTAGTACATGGACCGAACAATTATCGGAGGGGATTTTACACACAGGCTGAATGTAAATATAAGTCTCTGTAAATCCACTCACTGACACTAGGTGGCGCTTATGGAAAAGCTGAATTAGAGCTGTTTCCCGTAACCTCTGTGGACAAAGCAGTAGTGCGATTAAGAACACTTCCTTTAGGTAGTACATGGACAAAATATGAAACGGTAATACTAACCGTGGGGAATTTTATCATGATTTATCGTCAAACCGGTAATCGTTACATCCCTATTTTGAATAGTACAAGTTTTTAAAATAATTTTGCAAAAGATTTCTGTAACGTCTGATTAATTTAATACATCCTTGCTGAATAAAATAAATATATATTTTTAAATTATATATACTGACCCCAAGCTTTTGAACGGTAATATGCCCGTTTGACTGTGTAAAAAAAGAAAAAAATATATATAGGTGTGATATAAAGACAACAAATGACAAACTTAGTGAATAATATTTATGTAAGGACAAAAGTAGTAATAATAATACCCAAATTATAATAATAAGCAAATAATAATACCAAATTTGACATTATTTTCTGGACTTGATATTCCTGGAACTCACTGCATTGCATTACAGGTCTTCATGTTATTGGGCAGCTCTCTGATATGCTGTAGTACAAATTGAGCTGACAAAAGATAAACCTGTCATGGAAATGTCAAAAATAGCACAAATGCATGTGTTAGCATGCTTAATGCAGAGCAAATCAAAACCTCTGCAGTAATATCCTATTGTGACAAAAGGCTGATTTTGTTTCATTATTTCTTCTCAGTGTGGGAAAAAAACTGTCAAGGCTGTGCTTTGGGTGTCTGCCGATGGCCTGAGAGTAGTGGACGACAAAACCAAGGTAAGTTTCTATAGGCATTTTGTTGTGTGTCCATTGAAAGCCATTAATCGACGGTAAAAAAAAACCCAAAAAGTCTTTGAAGCCCCAAAAAGCTCCCAAGCCATTAATTAGCCAAGTTCGTCAGCAAAGAGAAAAGATCTGTAGGAAACACAAAACATGCTGTAGGAGGAAGCTGGCAGGCCTCCAAAAGACCCGTCACATGACCATCCCGCTTCATGAGACATCACTTAGACCGTCTCAGACACGAGATGACTTTAAAGGCCAAGGGTTCCCGTGTCTCTCACAGTTGGGTTTTTCTTTTTAAAGTTCGGGGATTAATATAACATCCTTCCCTCAGACAAAACCCGGAAAGTTAACCAGAAAAGGTCAAAGGTCTCACATAATGAGTTCAGTCATCCCCCGTTCCTCCTTTTCAGCTCACACAGTAAAAGGCGGAAGGCCACAAAGCATTCTTTTTTTGTTTCTCGTAAGGGCCTCAGACTCAGTCGTTCACTCACTATGCGCTTCTGGTAATCTTCCCGTATGCATATGAGTCAGCAGTACCACCTAATCCTTCCTGTCCTGCACCGCCTCCTCTCTCCTCTCTCTTGTTAAACTTCACTTGTCAATATATTAATAATAATAAAAGGCAGTGCTCAACACTAAAGATTTTTTCTACTGGCCCACTTGGACTAGTGGTCTAAATTTTTCCTTGCTCTGCCAAAATCTTCAATAGCCCCGCAACAAAAATTTATAAATAAATAATAGTTTATGTTTTCATTGTTTTTGACCATGTAACGCTGTATTCTAATAAATAAGGTTATTATGACACCAACATGTTCACAATTCTACATTCCAAATTTGAAACCAAAAACTACTAGCTTATTATAACATTATTATATTAAAATGCTTTAATAATGTTATATCATAACATTAATAAAGACAAATGAACAGTCAGTAATAAATTAAGTACAAATAAATACAATAGAATAAAGACACAAATGAAATAAACAGTATTTTTCAGGTACAGAAATTGAATAATCAAATGTAAAATAACACTGGATAGTCTTCACTGTACATATTAAATAGATTAAAGGAAAAGTTCACCCAAAACTGAAAATTTGTAGAAAATGTACTCATCCTTAGGTCATCCGAAGTGTAGATGAGTTTGTTTGTTCATCAGAACAAATCTGGATTAGCATTACATCACTTGCTCACCAATGGTTTTTCTGACTGCAGTGAATGGGTGCCGTCAGAATGAGAGTCCAAACAGCTGATAAAAACATCACAATAATCCACAAGTAATCCACACGACTCCTGTCCATCAATTAACATCTTGTGAAAAGCTGCATGCTTATAAAGAACAAATCCATCATTAAGAAATGTTAACTTTAAACTGTCACTTCTGGCCAAAATGTGAGTCCATAATCCTTAATGACACTTCCTCCAGTGAAAAAGTTGTCCTCTCATACCAACATGATTTTTTACAACTGCTATAGACTGTTTTCACTTGTAAATGGTGCTTGATCTGTGCATATTTCTCTCCTGATTAAGACAAGACAAGTTTTTCACTGGAGAAGGCAATATTATAGATAGCTGGAAGCAATTATTGTTTGGTTAATATTAATGGCACAGACAGCAGAGGCATATTAGGTTGCTGTCACTTTAAGACCTAATGCACAGATCCAATATACTGATACACATCCAATTTCTTTCTCAGATGTTCATGTTCATTTAAGACGTAACCAACTGTGTTTATGAGGATACTTGCCAAGATGGATATTTTGTCATAATTTTGTGTGTATTTCAAGCACAATACAATGCAAAAGAAAACTTGTTTTCTCATATTGAGCAAGTACCAAGTACGTCTCTTTGCGCTTGATGGTTTCAATGTTTAAATTGCCAAAACACATGCAAATGATAAACTTTCTTGTATTCCTTCAACTGTCCTGGGCATCTACTTACTGTCGAGCCCTAAAAGTGTTATTGATTACAAGACCAGACTGTCTTATGACAACTGAGATGAGTCAGCAGTCTCCAAAATTGGCTAACAATGAATGGGCCCCTCACCTCGACCCAGTCTTCCTCTGCTTTACCTCTCACCTACCCCTTCTACAGTGTTCAGCTCATTCATTATGTATTTACTTTGGCCCCCTAAAAAGGAAACACTAGACACTGTTACAGTGGGAGGTCCAGGCTACACAAAAAGCTTTAGTCATGTTAGAAGAATCAAAAGGACAAAACGGTATAATGTGGTTGGGTCATGGACAAATAAGAATAAAGAAGAATCTAGTTTAAAATGTGGCTTTCTGGTTCCTGGGATGTAATTTAAAATTGGTATGCATGTTGGTTTCATGTTTTTGAAACACTATTATGCCATATGCATCATATCCAGGGATTTCATAACAATTTATAATATTTTAATATGTAAGTTTTAATAATACACTACCATTCAAAAGTTTGGGGTAAGACTTTTAAAATACTTTAATGCTTTTAAAAATATGTTTTCTATTCTTTCTAGTTATTTTGAAAGCTGTTCTTCTGAACTTTCTATTCTACAAAAATATTTAGCAACACAACTGTTTTCAACATTGATAATAATAAGAACTGTTTCTTGAGCAGCAAATCAGCGTATTAGAATGATTTCTGAAGGATCATGTGACTCTGAAGACTGGAGTAATGTTGCTGAAAATTCAGCTTTGCATCACAGGATTTTAAAATATATTATAACAGGAAACAGTTCTTTTAAATTGTAATAATACTTCACAATATTACTGTTTTTACTGTATTTTTGACCAAATAAATGCATATTGGTGAGTATAAGAGAAAAAAATGACACACTGAACTTTTGTGGTGGTGTCAATTATAAAGAAAAAGTAAAAAGCAATAAAAGTTTCTTTACACCCTTAATACATATAAGTGCACATCATCTTAATAATTATTTTTAATTATTTTCTTTTAAATATTTTCATCAATGAATTATGATATTTTGTTGGGTTCATATTATTTGATAACTTGAAATAACCTTGCCATGTCATGAAAATAATGTTTAAACAAAGCCTTTTGAAATGTTAGGGTATTTCCTCAGGGCTTTTTTCTACATCACAATCTCAGGACAATTAAACAGCTTTTTTATATTATGCACCACAAAAATATAAAAATTTACTTGATCAAAATTGAAAAAAAGTAGAAATTGGAAAAACTTGTTCATCATATAAGAGATGTATTAAGGTCATTGTCTCTATGACTTGCATTGTACGTATTTTTTTTACCCAGTATAATAATATAAAACCCAATACAATAATACGTTTTTGACTAAATATGGACTAAATACAACTAAACACAAAAACAGTGTCTTGTTACTGACACAAAGCACTTTCAAAATACTTTACTTACTTTTTATTTGTATTTTAAAACTTTATTTGCTACAACCAACAACCGATCTGCCCCTTTTTTATTTTCTCTGTAGGACCTCATTGTTGACCAGACCATTGAGAAGGTGTCCTTCTGCGCACCTGACCGTAATTATGATAAGGCATTCTCCTACATCTGTCGTGATGGAACGACTCGCCGCTGGATGTGCCACTGCTTCATGGCCTTGAAGGACTCGGTGAGGAGAACCCAGCGGGGATTAATTCTTCAGACTCTATTCCCCGCAAAGTGGGATTAAGATAGGGATTATGGCAGTGTTATCTCAACCGGAATAAACGCTTAGAGACTGTTATCTGCACTTGGGGCACAGTGAAAAACACATTAAGGACTAGAATGAAATGGAATTTTGATTAGGATCCCAATACTAGTCTAGACAAAAACAACATTTTGTGACCATACAATGTTTTTGTCCGTCCCATAACAGCAATAGCAAAACAGTGTATGCAAACACAGACTAACCGAGCTACTAATAAATACTGACTATATAATTATATAGTCAGTATATAATAATTTGATTATCTTTTTTTTTTTAAATCTTTCATTCTCCATTAAAAATATCAAAACATCCTTAAAACATGATAAATTTACTTACAAAGTAAAATGGTAATTCTTGTTTTCGTTTCTTGAATTAAGTTTTTTTTATTGTTTTAAGCATAAATCTACATGTCTATCTATCTATGCATACATAAATACAGTGGGTATAGAAAATAATCACCCCCTTTAAAATAATCACATTTTGTTGCTTTGTAGCCTGAAATGAAGACGGACACAGTTTTGGTTTTATCCAGCTGTATTTACTCGGTGCAACTTATAAGATCCAAGTCAAAGATATAACACCAACATGTCAGAAAAAAAATTAAAAAAACAGAATCACTGAGTTCTTAATAATAGACTTCACTCTGCTTCTAGGTATTGATAAAGCCTTTGAAAACCTTTTTGTATCCATCTCCTGGCGTGTGCCTGACCACAACTTTATCCAGACTTTGCAATATTTGCCCACTCTTCTTTGCAGAACTGCTCAAGTTCAATTAAATTAGATGGTGACGGTTTGTGGACTGCAGTCTTCAAATCACTCCACAGTTTTTCAGTGGGGTTTAAGTCTGGGCTCTGACTGGGCCATGCAAGGACATTCTTTTTCTCCTTTTAAATTTTAGTCTGCCTCAGAATCTTCAAGGTGCGTTTTGGCAAAGGTAATGTAACTAATTACTTTCAAAAGACAGTAACTAGTAATATATAATGTATTACATTTTGGAAGTAACTTGCCCAACACTGCCTGTAGATATGTGATTTACAGGTGCTTTCCATTGATACTTTCTAGTGTAGTGCTCTATAAATAACATTTAATGTTTTTGCAGAGAATTGAACTGCTGTCTCTGATCTCTAGCTTGATCCCTTAGACTAGATTCTAAAAGGGGAATTATGGGTTGTATGTTTTTGTAACAGTGCCATGTTTGACGGGGTTTATCTGGGAATAATGTAAATGACTACACATGCAGGAATTTTGAGGACATCATATTTTATGTAGTCCAACTGTTTTTCTTGCTTTGAGGGCTGTAATACAAACCAGAACATGAAATGTGTTGTTGTTTTTTTAACTGCAGGTGTTTATTAGAGATGCACCAGTATTAAAATTCTGTGTGATCCTGATAATCTGATAATTACTGACATGTTATGGATATTAATTTTGAAATCTGCTAATGATTGCATACAACATTACAATGTAATTAAAGATTAACTTTGATTAAGTGAGTGATACACAACAGCAATGGTAATCTAAATGTAAAAATAGGGAAAATTAGCATGCACAATTAAAAATCAAATATCATCCAACACACATTATGAACCATGATAAATTAAAAAAATCTGTAATATTGTTTGATAATTGATATGATACTGATATACACTACCATTCAATAGTTTGGGGTCAGTAAGTTTTTGTAATGCTTTTGAAGAAGAAGTCTCTTATGCTCACCATGGATGCATTTATTTGATCAAAAATACAGCAAAGCTGTAACATTTTTAAATATTATTACAATTTAACTGTTTTCTATTTGAATATATTAAAAAAATATTCCTGTAATGCATTACTCCAGTCTTCAGTGTCACATAATCTTTCGGAAATCATTCTAATATGCTGATTTGCTGCTCAAGAAACATTTTTTAAAATGATTATCAATGTTGAAAAGAGTTGTTTTGTTTAATATATTTATGGAAACTGTGATACATTTTGATGAATAGACTATATATGAATAGATTTATTTGAAATAGAAATCTTTTTTAACATTATAGATGTCAATTTAATACATCCTTGCTGGAAAAAAACTCAACTATTGAACAATAATGTATAGTGCATCCCTACCTTATATCATAGATCCAGGATATTTTAGCAAGCAAAATCCCATAAACTGCATGCATGGCCCACTGAAATGAGCCACACAGATGTGATTGACCTTTCTATTGGTTTGTGTCAGTTCCAGAGATGGATCTATCAGTGGCAGTAGAGGCGGACAGCTTAAACGCTCTGTGCAGCCAAATCAACAGCTCTTTCACCAAACCATCTGAGGATCTGTGTGCCAAAGCCACCAGCAACTGCTTACCAGTTTACAGCGCTCCACCTGCCATTCCTCCTCCACCTGCTCCACTGCAAGGTAACACAGATGGCACAATCCCACATAAACGTACACTAGCGGTCAAAAGTGTGGAATAATTAAAATGTATAAAAGTTTATGAAAGAAGTCTCTTATACTCACCAAGGCTGCATTTATTTGGTTAAAAATACAGTAAAACAGCAATATTGTGAAATATTTTAACCATTTAAAATAACTTTTTTTTTTCCTTCTCATTATTCTAGATCCTTCAGAAATCACTCTAATATTCTGAATTGTGCTCAATTATTATTGGTAATCAATTATTATTAATGTTTTTTTTTTATTATTATTAACATTGAAAACTGCTTATTATTCTTGTGGAAATCATGATAACTTTTCTTCAGGATTATTTGGTATGTAGAAAATTCAAAAGAACAGCATTTTGTATGAAATATAATTTTTTAGTCTTTACTGTCACTTTTGATCAGTTTAATGCACCCTTGCTGAATAAAAATGTATTCTTTTTTTTTCTTTCTTTTTTTTTTATCTTATCCCAAACCTTTGATTGCTAGTATATCATGAAAATATAAAGCGGCAAATCTCTTTTCAACATATTGTCTTGTTTTCCAGTACAAATATCTAAACATTCTTAAATCAGTATGCATATAGTATGCTTAAGAAGCAAAATGACTTAAAAATGTTTTATGAAAAATTTATCAAAATTAAGTGAGTTTAAACAACTTGTTAAAAACGACTTATACTGAGTAAGAAAATTCATTTTATTTTGATCAAATAATGCAGCCTTGGAGAGCATTATTTGATCATTTTAATTAATATTACAATATTACTTAATATTACAAAATTTAACCGGTAGTGTATACATGGTGAATAGGACAGTCATATTTTAACATTCTTACCCCTCTCGTTCCCCAGCTACAAACTCATGGGTTCAGACAGAGCCTGCTGTGCAGTCCCCTCCGCCCGTTCCTCAGGGTGGCCACAAACGAACCCCATCCGAAGCAGAACGCTGGCTGGAGGAGGTGGCTAAAGTGGTGAAAGCCCAGCAGCAGACTCCACCAACCCTACCACCACCACCCACTCAGCAACCTCCGCCCATGCCCATCGCACCCGGGTCCCTCCCCTCCTCCATGCAACCGTTCCCAATGGCCTTTGACGTCACTCCTGCGCCCGTAGGCATGTTCTCTCAACAGCCTCTTCAACCGGCTTTTGTACCTATGCAGCCATACATGGCCAACAGCATGACCTATCCCAATGCCAGTGTGCCCGTGGTGGGCATCACACCATCGCAGATGGTGGCTAATGTATTCTGCACTGCGGCCGGGACAGGAGGTGGTGGAGCGGCGATGGGGGTCGGGATGGGGCCGAAGACGGGAATGCTTGTTGGTGGCCAACAATCGGCTTTCCCCACCCTGTCCGGAGGCTTCCCAACCACCACGTTCACCTCTCCTCCAACCGTCAACGGCCACCCGCATAACTCCTTTCCATCAACGACCACGACTACGAGTGTCACGCAAAACGGTAGTACCGTAAAAAGTGGTACTGGTTGGCCGATGGAGAGTCTGAATCCGAATCCCACGTGCAGTTCCCAGGAAGCAGAGCATTTTGATGCAAAGTGGGCTGCTCTGGAGTCCAAATCGCAACCGAAGGCGCAAAACCCTTTTTCGAATGACTTACAAAAGACTTTTGAGATTGAACTATAATCTTAAGGAGACTCTGAAAGAGGCTGAACTATTTCATACCCCATTCCCCTTCCCCTTTTTTTGTCTCCTAAAGAGTTTTCTTATGCTCCTGGTCTGTTTGAGGGCATTGGTTGTTGTAAGAGATCATTTGGGTGCATTTTGCGTCATTTCGAGAATCAGACTCTAGATTTGGAGAATTGAAAGGCCGTCACAACATGTTTGGCACTTACAAGACAGCTTGAAAGAGAAACCTGCACAGTACTTTCACCAGTAATGACCCATGCTTGGAAAATGAATGATTTTACCTAAAGGAAATACTGAAATTAGGGGATGGTTGAAATGTATTTATTGTTTTCCCTTATTTATTTATATTGAACAGGGTTAAGGATTACAGGTGGAATAGATTGACTACTTGACAATTGATTCACCAAATGATAGATGAAATAATTAGAGTTACATTATCTTGAGTTTACATTGTGGTGTAAATAGCATGCTTTCGGTTTACTTTATTGATTGCCTATTTCTGTTGCCATTCAATTTCATTAATTCCAAATGAACCATTGAAGCATCCGCTCTGAACCAAGTGGATACCAAAAGTTCCACCAACAGGCACATTCCAACCCTGAATATGCAATCGAGACCCAACATGCAATGGAAAACTAGACCGAAATGCCACTGTAGTGACCTTGACCTCTGGTTATTAACCTTTTAGAGAACATTTGGAACATTTCTGAGGTTTATAGTTTTATTTTTATAATCCGTTTAGCCAGACCTGTTCAAATATATGAATTTGGTCGACCTTAACATTATCTTCAATGGGTTCATGGGGCTTCTCTGTTGTTAAGAATGAATTTCAGAAACTCTGGGACCATGCTAGGATGGTAAAATGACCAAATGTATTAGAATGGGTGGTTGTGAAGAGCAAGTGTAAGAAAATATTAGAAAAAGGTTAAAGATGGAGGTTATAGTGTTCGTTTTTTGCAAGCAATGGAACGACGACATGGACTCTTAAAGGGACAGAGTCCCTTTCATGCATGCTTAAAATATCCCATATTACAGTATGTTAAAACATTGAATATGCATATTAGCCTTGACTTTTGTTTCTTATCACCACTTTTTCACTCGTTCTGGTCTAAGAAAGGGAATAATTGTCTTTAATTGCAGGTGAATAATGTCACACACTCTACATAATAAGATCTCATGCAGTTATTGTAAAAATAGATTTGAATCCTGCTCATTCAAGAGGTTCATATGTTCCCACCGTGGAGCGTGTAGGCACATTTATCGTTCAATAATGCTCAATGGTTTGTATTTTTGTTTTCTTTGGAAAATATTATCCAAGTGTACGAAAAGACGTTGAATGATCTTTCTGGAGTGTGTGGAGCCTGCAGGTGTCAAAGCTAGATGATCAAAGTCAGACTGCACACTGTGCTCGGTGAGGTGAACAAAAACACTCTTCCTGTGGAGATTTAATAGCAGTGGACATTCAAGGCAGGCACAATGTTTTAACTCCTGTTTCAAAAAGCCATTTTGACTGTCATGTGTTATAACTTGACCTCCCGGTTTTCTTATCAATTGTTTATTACAGGGTCAAGCGGGTCTATTGTGCACAATGAATCTAAACATTTTTTAGATTGTCATTTTTCCAAAGACAATGCATTTGTAATTTGGCCAAGCGATATGTTGTATGGCGTCAAACAGATGAATCTATTATACTCGATTGCCCTGGCTCGTTTTGTTCACACTCTCTCCTTGACAAAATCTAGGTTTTTCAAAACCAGGGAACTAAATTACCTCATGAAGTTGATTGTAAACTTTAATGTAGTGATAACAAACCAGTGGAGAATGAGGGAGAAACGGGACAGTGCAGGATGAGTTGCCATGGATACGAGAGCAAAACAGCCATTAATAAACATCCAAAAAAGCCACAGTAAGAAGAAAAACAATGGCCCCGGATATAAATTAAGCTTACAAAGGCTTCAGTATGAGAAAAGACACTGGTGAGTATATACGATTCTGCATTGATGCATCCACTGCAGTTTTTATTTATTTTTTGGCAATGTGCTTTGTCCTCTAAGCAGGCTATTTGCAGTCCATATGTGAATTCAAATAAAACAATGGCCCAAATTAAGTTTAAACCGAATTGAGAGTGTCTGTCTGTCAGTGCTGTTCCATCTGAAATGATGTATGAATGGGGATTAAGGAATTATAATAATGCTTTCTGCTGAACTGGCACGTGGTGTTCGTTTTGTCGGCTGGAGCTCACGGTCCCGGCACGTGCATCTGCTGCAGGAGATAAAAAACTAATTGCATGACAGCGTCCTGCAGTGGACTAATCTGTCCATGCAAATGATGTTATGCATTTTAAGAGACTGATAAACAAGCTTATAGTGAAATATGTCATGATTCAGACTTAGAGCAGTGGACCCAAATATCACATAACAACATAGAAGCAACAATAAATATGCCTACAGATCTTTTGCCTCTCTCTATCTTTTTGAATTTAGGGGAGACCGGGGCTAGTTGTCACAAAGGGACATTAAGGGACTTTTTTTCTCAGTAATCTTGAGCAGCAAATCAGCATATTGAAATGATTTCTGAAGGATCATGTGGCACTGAAGACTGGAGTAATGATGCTGAAAATTCAGATTTGCCATCAAAGAGAATACATTTTAAAATACATCAAATAGAAAACAGCCATTTTAAAATGCAATAATATTTCACAATATTACTGCTTTTTACTAGAATAAATATAAATTCTCTCAAAAACATAAAAAAAAATCTTACAGACCACAAACTTTTGTGTATATTGAACAGTAGTGTGCCTATCTAGCTATCTATCTATGAAACCAGTAAAGACCAAATCTATACCAACAATATAAATCCATCTTGAATTCTCCTAAAATTGAAGTGTTTCCTGTCATGATGAAGGTATGAGGTGTGAAATGTGTTAGCAGTGCATTATTACATCATTTCTTGTGCAACAATATGCATTTTAAGATTAAAGACTTTCATAAAATAATGAAATGCTGAAGTATTTATGTCAGATCTTTGTCTGGCGAACTAATCTTTCTCTTCCTGTACAAGAACAACATAAATGATAAAAGACTCTTGGATTAAACATGGAGTCAGGTAACATGGGGCTATTTTCATCCTTTTATCCTTAAATGAACCAGAGCTAGAGACTGCAGTTTTTTGGCAGTGTGTTGAGTGAGTGAGGTCTGTTGTCATGGTGTTTTTATTTATTTTTTTGTATAAAAATGTCCGCTATGTAAGATCCTACATCGAGTGAAATCCTAAATCAATGGGTGACTCAGTGGGTCTCTTTCTGAGAGTAATGTTGCCTCCCTCTGCTGGTTACAGTGTAGTAGTGCAACAGATTGCATTTTTTTATTTAATTTTTTAAAATCAGGACCATGTTGTTATTTTAGTATTATTATATACTATTATAGCATTTATTAATATTTTGAAGGAGCTTTTATTTTTATAATTTCATTTTTCATCTTAATTTTAGTTTGAGTTTTTGTCATTTTGTCATGTGCTTTATCATCATTTAAAATATTTCTATTTAGCTTTATTTTTATTTCTGTTTTAGTATTTTAGTACTTAAACTTATTGCAGTTTGTTGCCAAAGCAACATTTCTAACATTCAAACTTCTTTAAGTTTAATTTTTATTTAATCTAACGTTTACATTTGATTTCAACTCCTCGATGATTTGTAATATTTAATCATTTCAGTTAATAACAACACTGATTCAAGGACAAAGTATTGCCCTTTTATGTTTAATGTTCTTGTGATCGCTTGTTTTAAAGTTTTACTGAAAATAATGTGGAATGAATAACATTTTTAACTTATATTAACAAATAATTATGTAAAAATTAATGACAGATTAACTGAAGTGATGAACTTCAAAATGTACATTAACCCTTTTTGGACGTTTTTTGTAAAATGATGCAATTTTTGTTAATAGGCTTTCATTCTGTTGGCAAGGCTTTAAAATTAAATTTTTTTATAATTTTTTTACCAGATGGTGCCATTTTTTTCAAGTTTGCTCAACATGTTTCATAAAATATATATTTTATATAAAATATCGTTCATAAATCATTTTCATAAACTTAAACCTCTATAACTTTTTTTTGTTTTCACTTTTTAAAGTTTTTTTACTTCAACAATAATCTGCCATGGGTCTTCTTTAAAATGAGACCAAACTTAACTCTGTGCTCCCAAGCGTCAAATTTTTATGACATGGACATTTTTGTCCACTATGGACCTATGTGTAACTTTTTTTTAAGTGACGCACAAGGGTTAAGTACGTGTCATTAAATGCTATTCTTATCAAACATTTCTTATTATTATCAATGTTTAAAATATGATTTTGGAAATACCATGATACATTACCATTCCAAAGTTTTAAGAGTAAGATTTAAAAAGTAAATGAACACTTTAATTCAAAGATTAATTAAACTGATCAAAAGTGACATTAAATACATTTTTAATGTTACACAATACTTCTATTTCAGTATCAGCAACTGAAAAACGCAGGCCACTAAAAGGACTGACATAAGAGAACTGTGTCAGTTATAATACCACGGTCCCAATAGTTACCCGACCCCTGTGTTACAGTGTGTGTGATGCTCTTAATGACACTCACACAAGTGCTGACATTATAATCTTTAAACCCCTCAAGACAGTTTCCTGTAGATGTGATGAGGCAGGCTGTTTGCCAGACAGTAATGTTACAAATGGAGGAAATGCGAGTACAACCTCCATGATTTAAATCAGATTTCGAGTCCGTTTCATCTATTTAAGGCCCTTGAGCAGGAAATCTAGACCTCTACCTCCAGATGACCTCGCGTTTGTTCACTTACAGACCTAGAACCCATTATTTTCCATTGATGTCTGTTATCTTGTGAATCAAGAGGGCAGGCTGTTTTGAAATAACTTTAATGTTCTGATTAAAAGCCTGAAAGACAGTACAGGCCAGTCAAAACAAAGATTGCAGGATTGTCAAATGCAGGTTCGGTTATATGCAATTAAAACCATTGCTTTGGTTAAATCCCTTCATACTAGAAGACTACAATGTTCTATTCCAGATAAAAAAATATAAAAAGTAGAACTGTTAAAAGAATAAGATGGCGTAAGATGTGTAAGATGTGTAACACATACCTGGCAATAAAGCTCATTCTGATTCTGATTCTGATTCTGAAAAAAACAACAACAACAACATAACATAAACATAACAGTTAAAGGGATAGTTCACCCAAAAATGAAAACTCATTATTTATTCACCCTCATGACCTGTTCAAGATCTGTATGAGTTTCTTTCTTCTGTTGAACACAAAAGAAGATATTTTGAAGAATGTCGGTAACCAAACAGCTGACGGTAGCCACTGATTTCCATAATATGAAAAAAAAAATATGGAAGTGTACTATGGATATGAGGGTGAGTAAATGATTACATCATTTTCATTTTTGGGTTAATTATCTCTTTAAGAAATTCCACATGGATTCTCTCCAATCAAATATGAATAAAGTGCCATATATAAGCCATTTTATGAGCTGTACAAATGTTAGGAGTTATCCTGCTGTGACGGCTCAACATTCAGTCGTCTGTATTGAGTTTAGTGTAAGTCTGTATTAAACGTCATAAATGTCACCCGTAAGATAGTGGTTGAGATCCATTAGGCACTATAAATGCTGTAGAATAATTCCATTTTCATTTTATATGCACAGTTTGCATCTTACGTATTAGATTATATGCCTCTCAACTAAGGAAAGTTGACCATGATAGTAAATATTAGGTAAAGTGCAGTTATTTCAGAAAAAAAAAAGTGTAGTAAAGAACAATGCTGATAAAAAAAATACAATGAGATATGAACTCACAGGATTCATCACGTGATGAACTGCATTGCCTGAACTGGAATGTGAATTCTAGGCTTAACTTGTCTACTTCTGTTGCTCTGTTCCTGGAATAAAATATAAAACTGTACCAATAAAAGGTAAGGTTGCTATCTCAAATTCAAACGTTTCTTAATTAGATTAGATGTGAAACATCTCCTACTTATCTCAAATGATAATTAACTGTGTATTAGAGATGTTAATCTTTACTGCTCTTGCTCTCTGTCTTTTATGGAGGTGATTTCTTATCTTTGGGATAGAAACATTAAGATGTTTAATCAACAAATTATTTACAGAAAAACACTTTTAGAAGGCAATTCGTTTTCAGTGCCAGCACTACAGTCAATTAGCTAGAATCTATCAAAATCTATTAAAATGACAATTTTCTATTTCCCTCTTTTTAATTTCTGCACGCAAATCGCACAAAAAAAAAAAAAAAAATTTCTGGGTTGTTTATTCATCCCAAAGTCAAACGGAAAAAATATATACTTAAGACAATTAACCTATTTTAGGACCACAAATTTTTTTTTCTCTTTTGGTTTGGAGATGAAATATAACCCAGATATCATCATTCTCTAACGCTTTGAAGAGCCTGAGTGTTTGTCTATGCAACTGCAGTGGGTTTCATATTCCCCCCAGCCATGATTACACCGGTTGAGGTTTGAAAACTGCCTACAACCTGGATCTGAGCACCAGGCTATATTACGGCGGCACTACAGAGGCACAGCGATTCAAAGGGAATCCCTGCGGTCAGCGCAGCCGTCACACACTCGCACAGGGTGGTCCCAGCCACGAGACGGCACTGGCCTGGTCTTAGTCGAGCAGTTCCCACACACTCCCTTACCACATGCCCGGCAGTGGTGCTTGGGCATGCTGGGGGTGAAGGGTTTAGCACAGCTGTGGCACTGGGTGATCTCATGGTCTGGGATCCAATAGCCTG